ATAAATTAACTGATTAAAAACTTTACTGGAAGACTAGTAAATCAGAATGGGACCTGGCTATTCCATTTCAGCTTTACTAAACACCCTTATTAAAAAGTTTTGGCTGTTACTGGGGTCATACCACTGCTCAGGGGCTTGCTGACCTATCAAAGCCTTTAGAGTTTAATAAATGATGATAAATTGCTGCATATAAGTCTTTCAGATCAGGTAGTAAATTGCATTTGAAACTATAGCTTGTGCCTGAGCATGAATAAATTACAGATTTTTTTTCTTGTCAGTGCTACATTTTCTTCAGCGGGGCAAGCCCTTGGCCCATGGTCCTTGCTGGGCCTTCCAAGCACTTCTGATCTACTTCAGAAACACGGATGGAGGCACGTGGACCTGGGAGCTAACTCGCAAAAAGAAAGAAAGGTCATGGAGTGTCCTGTGTAACCGTCTAGTTTATAGTTCCATTGTCTCCGCATTCTCATTCGAAATGGGTAGATAATACTGAGGATAAATGAGCCATTAAGTTTAATTTACTCTCATTTTCAGAAGGGGTTGAGAGCTTCTGTGAACATTGCAGAATTCCAAACTCCTTATTAACCCAGAGCTTTATAAAATTAATTTATACATGCATGTTAAATGTAGACAGAATAATAAATATAGAACAACAGTGTTTGTCTGTTTTAAGACACTGGAACATTAAATCTTCCTTTTACAGATGTACTCAGCTGCAGATAAAGTTGGAACATCCAGATTTCTTAGCCTAAAAAAATTCAGTTCTGTTGTGCTTTGTCTTTTTCTGTTTTAATTTGTAATAAGGCTCAATTATGATGCAGATTTTCTGGAACTATAGCTTCAAGTAGAAATCACCTTGATTCTTTATCAAACAAAATGGACTCCTGCGTCACTGTGTGCTCTGGGGATTAATTTGGAGAAGACAGAAGATGAGGATGCCAAAGCCCCTCCTAACCTGGAGCAAGAACCACGATGACACCTCGGGCGCTTCAACGCCTTGTCTGTAGGAGCCTGGGACCTGCAGAAGCAAGCACGGTCCTGAATTTGGAGCCCAATCTCTTTCCAACAGGAGCAGAACCAGAGGGTTCAGACCCACATCTCCCCACGCAGCTGGGGGAGAAGCTGTCCTACTTTGTAGCTAAGACTAAAAGCTTGAAGGGGACGGCATCAGAGGGCATGCAAGAACGAGCGTAGCTGTAGCCCAGGGATTAAGGGACTCACGCAGAAGGGAAGAAAACTGGTTTAATCCCTTCTTCAAGGGCTGTTTATGCAGATGAATGCAAAACAGGTAAGCTGCCTGTGGAATAAGGACTAGCATGAAAGTGCCACTCTTCATTCAGGCACGAGCTCAGATGGGGCTGGGGGAGCGAGGATCCCTGAAGGGAGGTCCCTTTGGCGATGCTGGGCAGCACGAGGTCTTTCTGCGAGGCTGATGGACAGTCAGTCTTAATTCCAGCACTGATTGCAACAGCAACAAGCCTGAGCCCAGGGATTTTGAAGCGTTTTAGGATGAAAGCTACCATGCACAGTCAAACCACTGTGCAATAAGGCATCGCTTTAATCCATTAACTCTCCATTATGGGCTAAGTATTTTCTTAATTACCGAGGGTGACTTTGGAGAGTGGCTTAACCACATGATTCTCACTAACATGAACGAAAAGTTTATTGCTGCATCCCAGACGTTGCCTAATATCTTAATTTCACCCTCAGAGCTATGCCTGCAGGCAGCAAAGGCAGATGAGATCCATTTAAGGAAAAATGCGGTTAGCGTCAGCATTCAGGATTTAGTGCATATAGCTTGATCCTCTCTTCGTTTGTAATTCCCTGTTCAGTCATTTCCCTTCTATGCTGTGAGAGCGTCTTGTAGTGCTCTGAAAAGGCTGGGCTAGAGGGATAACATGTGGTGCAATCACAGCAAAGTTGCTTTTCCTGAAGTTAAGGAATGTGAGCACAAGGCTTCCTGGGCCTGTCCGGTTTTTAAAATCAATTGCGTCAAGCATGGAACAGGAGGCAAGGAACAGACAGGGCTTTATGGCTTTTTTTTCTCTCCTCCTTTGGGCTGCCTCCAGTGTCACCAGCGCACAAGCTACAATCTCAGCTCTCCCATGACTTGTGTTCAGCTGCAGGGCACTGCAACAGCTGAGAATAACAGGAATGCAGCGGCTCAGGTCACCTTTCTCTCGCCCCCCCCCACTTCAAAATACTCCTCTTCCAGAAAGGAAAGCAATGGCTTGTTCTGGTAGCGCTGCACCACTCAGCAAGTCTCCTCAAATTCACAATAATCAAGGTTCAAAGGCATCAGGGCTGAGCAGACAGTTGATGCCTTAGAAGCCAAGGGTCTTGGTCTGGAAAGCCACCTCTGCCAATGGGAAACTGGTTAAAAAAGTTTCTCCTCTCCCCATTTCAGCCCCTTCTTTCCCACCCACACGCTGCAGCTCACGCTCCCCTCAGTTGTGCCAAGGCAGCTGCTATGCAGACTGTGCTGCAAACAGGGTCAGTTCAATGATCTCGGTTTAAAAATAAACCTTTTTTATTATTATTCTTTAGCTTAAATCATGTCAATAATCCACTCTGCAGTCCAGCCACACAAGCTGTTGCATTGCTCAATGGAGGGGCCAGAGAGACGTGGTGTTGGGACGGGAAATTGTGGCTGAGGAACTGTTTCATGGAAGTACAGCCCCGTTCCCCCGTCAGGTTCCTGTAGTATGATCTGGATATTCCAGCGTGTATGAAGTTCCTTGGTCATTAATACTGAGCTGTATGCCACTTGGTCAGGCAGCAGTGTGAATTTATACCCAGTGAAACATGGACGCACCATTGCACATCTGCTGAATTTGTGTGATAATGCACCATGGACTCTGTCACCTTTAAATATTTATGCTGACTTTATGCTCTTACGGGAAGCAAAGTAATACCTTTCCCCCGTAAAGACTGCAAGAACAAAGTTACCTCATCAACATTCCCACATGTCTGAAATTAAGTTCCATAACCAGAATTAAGCACCTAAATCAAGCCCACATTTTGAAAGAGACTCTTAGCGTTTTTGAAAAGACGCTACTGGAAGACTCGTGGCTATTTGGCACTAGTGGCTTCCATTTTGGTGGACCTATAAAGGGGGTGCATTTGTCCTTATAACTCCCCGTGAGACAGGGAAATACTCTCCTTTGACAAAATTTTTTATTACACCATTGTCAGCACAGAAAAGTATTTATCCGCTATTTACCTCTGGATGTTCTCCCTTACTCCATCTGAATTCTGCCTGGTCTTTATTTTCCCCTGAAATTCAGCATCGATAAGGCTGACATCATGAGGCAGTTTAACATTTCTGTGACTGAAACAAAATTTCCTACACGCTTCGGTAAGTGACACAGTCTGAATTTGGAGAGAGTAACATTTTCAGCAAACGTCCCAGGTGTAAATGTGAACGACAGCTTTAACTAAGAACAGGCAACGATGTCAGCAAGATGTGCCAGGGCAGGTGAGGTAAGAGAAACTGCTGACCTCATTTCTTTCCTACCTGCCAGTAATATCAGCACAATGGCTCGTTATTCCTCTGCTTACTTATGGGCTTTTGTATATTCACCCTTGCGGTATCAGACCATATTAGTACTGAATCTCGATCTTTGTACCTCCTCCTCTTCTCTGAAGTGGAAAAAGGCTATTAGCTGGCCTTTAAAAAGCGCAGGTGTTATGAGTCTCCCTTATCTTGCAGATGGCAGTAACTGGATTCAAAACTTCTGAAGACGAGTGGCTTCGTGCAGATCTTTGTGTATAATGAAATAAGCCAAATTGGCATGAGACAAGATGGTCCACGTATGATACTGTCTGGCAAAACTGCAGTTAGGCAAACACATCACTCTTCCTCGCCCTTCAGAAAAGGACTCCAGGAGGGTTTAACCAGCCCTGAGGGTCTTGGCCCACAGCAGGAGGAGGCCAAGTTCAAGCCCCCCATTTTGAGGCTGGTTTGCAGGATGTGACAGAGCATTGTATTGGGTTTGTGTGGCAAGGTTTTGGTAGCGAGGCGGTTACAGGGGTGGCTTCTGTGAGAAGCTGCCAGAAGTTTCCCCCATGACCGACAGAGCCAATGCCAGCTGGCTGCAAGACGGACCCACCACTGGCCAAGGCCAAGCCCATCAGTGATGGTGGTAGGGCCTCCAGGAGAACAGATTTAAGAAGGGGGAAAAAAACCCACCAAACCCCCAAAACTGCAGAAGAACAACAGTAGCTGGAGAGAGGAGTGAGAATATGTGAGAGAAACAACCCTGCAGACCCCCAGGTCAGTGAAGAAGGAGGGGAGGAGATGC